CTAGTTATACAAGTAAATCAACTCAAATATATTTATTAATATTAGATCTGTACACAATGCTATTTTCCAATATGTTATAACATATAGGTAGTGTACGTTTAAAAAAAAATGATGACACTGTAAAATCGCATTTAAATAATACATATTGAATAAGGTACGTGAATGCCGCACGAATATGTTCGGCAAATTGTTTGAACAACTAATCTTTATAATTGGTAATGGAATTTCACAATTTAATATTGTAACGAAAGGACATAAAACCTACGCATATTTATTAAATATTTCTATAATTCAATAAGGTGCATTTTGTATTATTATATAGTAGTAGGTATTAGGTATGTAGGTATCTTGTATATGATCCATTAATACCAAAAATCAATTGAAACGAAAAGCCCTGTTTAAGGGGGGGGGGATTGCCATGGAGCGGCAAATTTTTGCGGATCAACATAAAATAAATATAAGATATAAGATAAAATATAGGTAGCCTATATTAGTACAGGTTTGTAGTTGAAAAAAAAATTGTACCTAGTACAGTGTACCTAAAATAGTATTGAAGTCATAGTTGATCATCCCGGTTATTTAGAAGTATTTAATATTTATATATTAATATATTTTGAAACCAAAGGCAACCATTAATAAAAAAAAAAAGGTTCGATTTCCACCGTGAATCTTAATATCCCTGTTTTATAACCTCTTTAAAAAGCGAATATCAGAAACCCTTTTCTTATTGCGTATCTAGATCACTAGAATTAAATTTTGTATGTGTATTGGTTTATGTTATCAGTTATTATATAACCGACTAACTAAATTATTTGCAATACAGATATCACTTGGAAAATAATTATATACATATTATAATATATAATATAATTTTTACATAGTTTATAATATAGGTACCGGTTTTATGTAATATATAGATATATAATCATGTAAATAAGTCTGATAACCAGCTATTAGTTATACATAATATGATATCTAGAATTAAAATGCCTGTGAAATGATTCAGCAAATCACGTTGACATTGACATTGAAATTTAAAGTGAAAATGTATCTTTTAATTTCCTTGTACTTCTTTAACCATTAACCATATTTTGAATCCAAATCTAAATTTGAATATTATTTCTTTCATTTTTTATGACTGGAATAAAAATTACTCTTATTGTTATGACAAACGGATAATAAACTGTGTATTAATCGATTTAAATGAAACGAATGAGTATATTATTATGGCACACAAAAAAATGGTTTAATAATTAATATTATGAAAGAATATATTATGTAATTAAATATACATATTTGGATAGTCTTATAAGAAATCCGAATTGGAATTCGTGTATTTATATTTAATTAGAATACATTTATGATAATTATTACAAACTGAAGTCTTTGATTTTGTATTATTATTATTAAATGATATGCCCTTATTAATTTTTTTGAAAATACCAAGACCATCATATTGACCCATAAGGAACCACTAGGAGGTGACTATCACTGTCCTCTAAAAATCATTATTTCAATTTAAAATGAAAAATGTAATAATATAAATACAAAATTTGTAACTTCTTTTAATTAATTAATACACTTATTCCTTAAATAAAGCTGTGTATAATATATATAATAATATGTTATTAAATACTAATATAAATTGTAGTGAAAAATAATATAAAGTTTTCGAGCGAAGTTATCTAAAATGAGTGTTTCACACAAAATTTCTAAATAATTTTGAATAACATTACCAAAAGAATTGATGGAAAAGCATATCGTGGCATATTGTGGAAATTTAATTAATATTTCGGTAATAGTCGCTATAATTGCTAAACGAAGACGGGGTGGGAATGATCATCAGAAAGTATAGCTCGGTACATATTCAGCTTCTATAACTTCCATGTGATAAAATGTCATTTCACATTAACATGTTAATCCAAAATACGTATTTAATAACTGTACCTACTAAATGACAAATGTCTAACAAAAAGAAATGAATTTTAAAAAGGATCCACTTAGAAAATGACGAAGATCTACCAGTCGATCGCGGTCGACTGTTTGGCCACCCCTGTCCTATAGGAATTCCATCGATAATATTTGTACTTGAACAAAAAAAACACCCTCGTCTTTAACGACAGCCAATAACAGTACCACAAGGTCGACTATAGCACCTTACCGGTTTATTGGTGAGGTGGTATGAAGGGGAAACGACCAGACAGTACGAGTGCTTACGGACTCTCTCACCGCTACCATCGTTCTACGAGTTGTCGGAAATGACTATGCATATACGTTTATTGTCGTACCATAATGGAATTATATTATTATTATCATTATTTGCCGGTCGTGTAAAATCTTTTCAATTGCTGCAGCTGTAAACTTTACTACCTATATAATATTATAGTATTATATCTCAGTAATCCGTATAGAACGGTTCCATCCTGCTGAAATTATTCTACCTAATACCTATGCATTAATAAACGACGACCAACCGGCCTACACATGGGTACAACGTATAATAATATAATAATAAATAATATTATATTATCGAAATACAACGCAGTAGATTTAATAAAATAATAAAAAAAATACCTGTCTATATATAATTACATTTATGAAAATGATAATGATTTTATTTTATAATAAAATAGTTAAAACTAATATCATATTATAAACTATTTAACTATAAATTTTCCGAGGGTGCTCCTTTTTTTATTAGGTAAACGAGAACTATTTTCTAAAAGTTATATTATGACGTAATAATAAACATACATCTATCAAACCCAAGTAAAATATACATTGACTATTTTAATATAAACAATAATTTATTAGAAAGCCGTACCTAATAAAAAATTTGAATTTGTTCAACTGTTATAGAACATGACCTAAAGTAAAATATAAATTATGTAAATTTGATGATTGTTGTACTATTTGAAAGCGTGCGCGCGAAAAGAAGTTGAAGAAAATAATGAATAAATAGGTAAGTAGGTACTATATTATTACATTTTAAACTGTTATTCGAATATCAGTCAACCGTTGTCACTCGTAAGTGCCAACATTAAATTTAATATTTAAATTGAGGAAAAAGGGTTTATTTTATTGGACATAATAATATTATCAATAGGTAGTCATTGATTTATTATTTAAAACACGTATTGATCGCCCAAGGTTGGCATACCGTAGACGATGTTCGGATATCGTGGTATAATGACAAATAAAACAGTATTAGTATTAATGATATATTTTCCGTAAATAACAAATAAGCAATAACTAGGGCCTTGAACTTGATGAACTAAACATCTTAAAAACATTACAAAAAAAAAATGTTAAAAATGACCACAAAAATACCAAAAATGACTTTATGATGACTTAATATTTTTAAAAATATACGTTTTACAAAATATAGTACTCTGTAGAGTATTATAAATGCGGAGTTATATATTTAGTGTAGGTATCATTAAAAATATCTAAAATTTGGATCGATGAGATTTCTGTAAAAAGCCTCAAACAGTTGACACATCAAATAGTTGTTCCTATCATCGGAATTAGAATTAAGTAAAAATGCAATTTCACTTCAGCAAAACTTCTAAACATTAGAGTTAGAAATTATATACTTACGTAGTACAAACCGCAGGTAGACCGCTTACTCATAATATTAAAGCTACTCGCATAATTAAAAGCTAATCACGCTTTTTTATTTATCTTATTTAATGTAAATCTATTTATTTTAAATTTTATAAGGGCCTAATTGATTTTTATTGATTTGATTAATTATTTAAATCATATTAAATTTAATTTCTTATAACTTATAATATATACATACAGTAGAACCCAAACGTATTTTATGATAGATTTATAATTTTATTAATAAAACAGTTTCTGACGCAAAGTTGTGTTCAAGTTTTAGTCCAGACGTTTGTTGGCAATAAGACTTTTGGAAAAGGATGCAAGACATTTCACGTAGTCTTGAGTCTTGACCTTCTATTCAATTACTCTTCATCGTGGTCAGTTGTTTGAGAGTATAGTGACCTTACATGACCTTATACCTTAGTCACCAAAATGAGAATTTTAATATAATTTATTATATTATAAGTATTTACAGATGGTTTCAATATTTAATCATTTTGTGGTCTGATCTTTTTCAAATAAGTTTTAAGTCTAAAAATGATTAAACTCACGTTTTTTTGTAAGTTACAAAAATGTATGGGTAGTGGATTTTAGAGTTGAATTTATAACATGCAAATTCCACTGGTAAGTATCTTTAACCTGAAATACTATAGATAATAAAGAATTCTCTATTACCTACATAATTTTAATTTTATTAGATGTAAAAAAAAGGTGGAATGTACATTTATTTTTTAGGTAGGTACCTAGTAAAAAAGTAGCATCAGAGTCTACAAGAAAAAAAGGTCAAAACCGGTGAATTGTATATGCGCCACCCACGAAAACTTAACATATATTTACGCCACATAGTTCATTAGTTTTTACACGACAAACTTTAATAATCCTAGTCTTGCTAAAACACCACTATACACAATATTACTCATGTACATTACACTTTAAGGTTAGTCATTAGGACGAGTTAAACAATACCTAACACACAAAACATTAGGTACCTAATCATGGTTATATAATACGTCCGCAGTTCAAACGGTATTATACAATATGTTCCATTTTATCGCACTACTACAAGTTCCATTTTATATAGAACACAAATACAAATAAAAATATGTTTTTAATTTAGTTTTAAAATAATTTGATAACTTCAAATAATAAGCGTGAATATTTCTTTATTAAGTACTTTATAAAATACAATGTGTGAAAATGATAATCAATATTAAAAGCAAAATACCCATGATCACTAATTTTATGGAAAATTAAAATGTTTTCGTTAGTCTATTAGTTATTAAAAACATTAATTAAAGAAAAATTAAATGTTTTTTTTTTTTTTTGAAAGTTATTATTTAAAAAAATTAGAATCAGGGCAATAAATTGTTTATGTAAAAACGTACAACCCATCAGCCTGTCTTCCAGTAATATCTAGACCCTGAAAAGAAGTTCAATTGTGTTGAGTTTTTATCTTCTGATGTCGAGCGACGATATCTTGGATTGTCTCTGGGCTTGTTCAACCGCAACAACATTGATCCTGCGAGGGGCGTCGCCTGCGAATAAAACATCATGCTTGATAAGCCTTCGCATGATGTGGTACCGCTAACTGCCATCATGGTCATCACGTGGTTCGTCATCTTGTACAACTTTTGTGTATGCGAAAACAAGATAAATAGAAACCAATTAATCAACGTAAACATAATACTATATGAGAAAGCTCAAATTAAAGGGAAACACGTATCTGTGGTAAAAAGGAGTAATTTTGTCATCATCTAAAAACTACTAACTGGTTCTAGGTCACTTTGTGCGGTCGGGAAAAAATGTTAATTTCAGAACGCGGACATACTGTACTATTATATTATAGTACATTATACATAAAGCATATATATTGTATATGTATGTATAACTTATATACCTAAGTAGTAAGTACATAATATAATGTCAATTATTAAAATGTAAAAATTAAAAATTATATAAAAAGTAAATCACAAATGTTTTAAAATATAGTATGACAATGGTTAAAATAATCAAAGTTTTTTTAGCTAACAGGTTAATTAACAGTCGAATATTATTTTGTGCTATAATATATTTATAAATTAATTTAGGAACTTGATAACCTAATTAAATATAATTGTATGTATATAATAGTACAAAATTGAAGTGTTCTGCAATCTAAAATTTAGCTGAGCATACAAAGTGTCCGTGCTACGAATTTTAAACAATGGACCTTACAAAGTAACCTTTTACCCTACATCGTTCGTACGTTTTAAGTACAAATTGATAATCATTTTTATATTACACTGTCTTACAAATTGTTTTTAGTGCCTAATTAAATGTACTGTTCTAAAATAATTAACATAGACTAAATGCGATACCTAGTGTATAACTGCAGATATGGCAAATACGTTTGTCAAGAATAACTTTTTTAATTAGAACAACAATAGCAATTAGAAATTAATTGCCTTGTGAGCAACAGCACACACTCATATAATATGTTTATAAAATATGTGAGGTATATATTATACCTTATACTATTACAATTATATACAAATATAGGTAATATGTTGATTATTTTAAAATCCAAAGTAAAAAACTATTAATAAAATTTGAATTCAGTCTCGATGAAGCTATATACTCTGTCTCAAATTAGAAAGTAACCTCAAGTGGCTACATATTTTGTCAAGTTCTGTAACACCACTATATCAATTATGTTACATGACACCAATGTTTAGATGGCATTTTAAGGCTGTACTGAATATATCTATTACGTAATAAGGCCAACCCATTTCCGCTGCATCCCACTGACTGAGTTTACAATTATTTGAGACAGAGTATACCTAGTAATGAGAACCTGAAAACATATTATTATATAAATTTTTTATAATAATATGGAATTAAAAAAAAATTGAATGATATATTTTTAGTTAATTTAATAATTAATTCAAATATGTTTGCAGATGCACTGGTTGAAAAACCCAATATTATTGTAGGCACAATATACTTACGACACATCGGGTCTGGAGTTTACCCTCCGGTTTCAGGAGAAGGCCGTTTAGTCCGTACACTTTTCCATTGTTGAAATCTAGTGGCTTCGTGGCTGATTGTGATGTACAGGAAAACACCAACTGGACCACATCTGCATAGTCGCCTAACGACATAATAATAATAACGCATGAGCTCGATGGAAGTGGTACATCCTTTATATTTTCAAATCATATTACTACATTATAATTCATATCGTGATGAGTGGAGGTCTTACGCCTTATTCCTCAATGAATAATCATCAGACAATTAATCATATCAATGTGTTTAGTAGTGACGTGTAGTCAGATTGTGGGGGGAGGGGCAGATGAGATAGGTATAAATTATTGGGTGCAAAAAAATTGTTATACTTATTTTTTGGAAGATTTTAAATTATTTCTTATTTAAAATAGAATTATAAGAGAACAAGATTCTTAAGACAACGTCACACCCGCAAGCATTGTGTCCATCTTACAAATAAGCAAAAGAAAAAAAAGAAAAATAAGAAAAAATACGAAATGTTTGGAAGCATATAACTTTTATTCTATTTATGTTATCTAAAATATAGGCAGTCTGTGCATAGAAAATTTTCTTCCCTGTATATTATTCAGAAATTTTGGAACCTCTACTACAAACACACAAAGATAAAACTTTTCCGCACAAAACAGTTTTTATTATGTTGTACATTTGTTTACGTGCGGGTGTGTCGTATTCTTAATATATAAATATTATTTTTTTTTTTATCATATTATGTTGGGTCACGCAGTTGACTATGACTCATAGTCATCGGTTCGATTCATAGCATAGTGCAAAATAAATTTGTGTGGTTCTACGCGATTACCATTTCCCGCTGCTATCGTTAGATTGCGTCATCCGGTCTCCAACTAGGTCCCAGTCCACTGGGAGTGAAGACCGCACATGCCACCTCTTGCAGGATAAGGGGGTAGTATCATGCATATAGTGATGTATACATAGATAAATAAATCATATGATCTCCCTTCTACCCACTTGTGATAAGCATTGACGAAGAAATAGAGGTCGTTTCAATGAACAAATAAAAATATTATAATGTCATATTATGTAGGTATCATTCTATTATATTATTTTTTTCTAATTCAACATAAATTATTTTAGTTTTGAACGAAAATGGCTAGAAATAAATACATTTAAATTTGTGTGATATATATTTTTTTATTTATTTTTTTTTGAGATAAGTAAAAGAGTTATAAAAAGTGGCACCATCAAACATTATGGTACCTAGGCACATTTTATACATAACATAGTGGCATATATTTTGATAAAATATGATCCGGAAAGATGAATTGTAAATTAAATAGTTAACAATATATTTAAGGTACATGCTCTATATTCAGAATAGATGCATTTTATATTGGAATAGCTTTCATGGAGTCGCAAGAAAAAGTGGAATATATTGTACTATGGTAAAATAATAAATCGATCAACGTACCTAACACACAAACACCGTCATTGATTTGACCAAACTTCACTCTGAATACTTTCATTTCGTTAGAGCCATGACGAGAACTGAATTTGAGTGAGGCACAACCTTTAGCCGTTGACGAATCTTCACCATTGAAGATCACATCAAAATCTGCAGTTACATTTGGCGGACATCTGCTATAGATATTTGGAATCTCTATAACACATATATATCAAATCAAATATTTTTTGTGTTTATAATTGATAAATAGCGTAATAATAATAATAATAATAATAATAATAATTATTATTATTATTATTATTATTATTATTTGTATTATTATAATTTGGCATGTAATTAAAAATAATAATATAATGGGTAAATGACGAAATATAATAATAATAATGAATATAAAGTTATATTTTAAATGAAAATAATATTTATCCGAAATCCGAAAAATTGAAAAAAATCTATTATATAAAATATAATAATTGTTATAAGCCGAGTGATATTAGAAGTTCAATTTAACGAGTAACGAGATGAGAAAATTCATTCCAGTACTCACCTTTCATATAATCCACGTCGAGTCCAGAGTCGGTTGCCCCATTGGAAACAGTTACAGTTGCGGCGATCGCCATAATCACTGCTACACTAAATATCTTCATTATTACGTTGCCTTTTGTAAAATATGCAAGAGAAAATCTATAAGAAAATCGACAAAGTTGAAAAAATGATCGGCAAAATATTGAAATATCTGGATGGATGAGAGAACGAGACGGGAAGACGGGTAAGCCGGTGAACTGTAAGAAGTCGGTACACTGATCGCACTGTGGTAGCGAGACACTCTTCGCGAGCTTTTTTATAAGCCGTGTATCGGCGGTGGTTGTAGTGGTGGTCGTCCCCTCTGCCAGCTGCTTAATACATAATATCTGACGTATCACAGGCTTGCATCGACCAATACTCCCGCCTACCAAACAGCTTATATTACAGTAATATAGTACCTAAGTAATGTATTTATCCGTATCTAACATCAGTGCTGGCCCGTGGATGGGGTGAGAAGGGTTTACGCCCCCGAGTTTTATGGTGCGGGGTCATATTATATATATATATCCCACCGTGATATATATATATATATCGATCGGGGCTGAAAAAAACCTAACCGTGAGGGATCAATGGATCATATTAAATATATATATATACCGATCTGTTGCAAACAACAGGTTTTTTTAACGAGTGTAAAAACATTGGGTTAAAGTTTAAACGCATTTGTTATTGTTTAAAATGATTTTTTTCGATTACATGGTTTAAACTATACACAGCTTTTTTTAATAATTTTAATATATGTAACAGTTGAAGTACGTAGAAATTAAAAATTACTTTTATTGCTTCTACGAAAGCGAGAAAGAAATTTTATTTTATTTTTCCTGCAGTTCCGCAGCGGTATACCAATTTTATTCGCCTTACAAAACTATGTGTACATGACAAACTAACGAATATGCCATCGTAAATTCGTACCTATAACGCATTGTTTATTATAAAATATATATGCAATAACCTTGTTGATAATTAATTCTTATACTATTTTTATTTAAAAATTATTTTCGTAAGACCAGTGACCGTTGGTATATAAACAAATAATAGGTAATATAGCAGCCTTTTGCTTTTAATAAAAAATCATATTTCTTTAAAATTTTAAGTATTTATGCAAAAACCAAAAACTGTATAGGTAACTCCTATATTATGTTTTCATGTCTTTACATTTATTCAGAGCTAAATCCTATTTTTCATTTTATTTGACTGGGCTATTAACCTGTTAATTTTGTATATATTATATATATATTATTATTGTGCATTGTATATAGGTACCATAAATACACCGTACACACATACAATTCATAATTATAATATACAGAGTGATTCATTTTATCATTAAACACACATTATTTCAAGAAAAGTAAATGTTTTTGAAAATATTATTTTACATAGTTTCAAGTCGCTTACAAAACAACGTTTTTAATAAAAAAATATATTTTAAAATATATTTATCCTATTTTTCAAGTTTTTACTTTTTTGAATGATAAAATAGAGTTTCATATATTTCATATTCCAAAGCCTAAAAATATAAAAATTAATTTAATATATATTGTATATTGTTAATATTCAATATTGTAATATCTATCATTCACGGCTCATATATAGCCTAATATGAATTTTGTATATTTTGAACACCCAATAATATTTATCTAATTATTTTAAAACATAAAAATCGAATTTAGTGAGAGTAGTTTATGAGTTATAAGTACTTATAACTTATGAGTATTTACAGTTTTGATTGTCATAGTGGAGTAGTACGGGGTTACCATTGCGAAATGTGTGTCCACTACTCCTCTCATCTAAACTTTAAATACTTATAACTCATAAACATAAAATTCGATTTTTATGTTTCGAAATACTTAGATAAATATTCTTGAGTAATGATAAAAGGATCACCCCGTATACAAAAAATATATTATATATACATTAACTATTAAGTAAAAACATCTTAAATTTGGTAAAAATGGCAATGGAAATTCCGTCCCGTCATCCACATATTATAAGTACCTAATAATATATTATAATTAACGTTTTCGGAATTTTTCTTCTGCAGACATTTAATACGTAATTTGCACGAATTTCACTCCTAGTTTGAAAATTCACACGACTTTCCTTCCCCTCGAAAAACAAAAAAATTCATCGTGGGGCTCTCTTATAAATAATTTATTCTACCTTGTAAAATATTTTTTATTTAATATAGATTGCACCAATTTTTATTAAGTAAAAACCTATATTAAACAAAAAAACATAAGTAAAAAACCGTATTCAATAAAAATTCATTTAAGTAGAATAGATGAATAAAATATTTTTTTTTTTTGGAGGGGAAAGAAGTTTGTGTGAATTTTCAAAATAGGCTTGAGAATCCCTGTGTGCATGCTAAATGTTGTGTAGAAGAATAATTCCGAAAATGTAAATTTTGATGCCCGTGGGGAGATGTTGACAAGACATAATAATAATAATATAAATAAAAATAATTACATTATTTATAAACTATAAACTGTTTTTGAGAATCTGTATAAATATTTAAACATTTTTATCAATAAAATATGTATCTAGATGAATTTATTTAGATAAGTAAAAAAATTATCTAAGATGAACGTTTAGATACCTTGTAACTATTTATCTAGATAAGATAAAAGATGATCAAATAATGATCTAGATATTCATATAGATAAGTCCGAACACTGTAAATAACCAATTTGAGTGATAACAATGACTAAATAATTAATACATAGTAATATGTAGAGGGATACCTAAATATATTACCTATAGTCTACTATTTGAAGGCCCAAAAGTGGCCAAAACTAGTCCATACCCATCACCCTAATGACAAGACGGGAATACCATCCCTGCCCCCCCCCCCCCAATGGCGTCACTGTACACCTTATATTATCATTAATACAATATTGGGTTCTAGGTCACTTTGTACGGTCGAGCATTAAAAGTGCGAAACGCGGACACTTTGTACGGTCGGGTAAAAAGGTACATTGCAGAACGCGGACACTTTGTACTATTATATACATAAAGTATATATATTATAAATATAAGTTATATACCTAAGTAGTAAGTATATAATAATATTATAAATTATAATGTAAATTATTAAAATATAAAAATTAAAAATAAAAAGTAAATTGTTTATCGTATATTAATAATGATCAAAATAATTTAATAATCAAACAATCAATAATATTATTATAAATCTTAATTGTATTATAATATTAGATATCAGTTTTAAAGCAAATAAAAAATGTGTACAATATAAATATGTCATAATGACAAATAAAATATAATAATGAAAAAAAATCATTAAAAACTACATGCATAGTACTTATAATATGGAAATATCTCAAAATGACAAGTAAAGTATAATATTGACAAAAATTTTAAAAAACTACATAATATTGTATAGTATAATAATATGAAAATATGGCAAAATGGTATCAAGCTTAGATAAAAAGTGCAAATACATAATTATTTAATATTAAGGGTTTAATAAATCAATTTTAGAATAATTCGTCAAAATGAACGATCTATAAAATATCAAATTTCCATTCTTTAATATTTAAAAAAATCTTTAAAACCTACATGTATAATATGACAGTGTCATAGTGAAATGCATTTATAACATTGCAAAAGGTTAGATTCCCCAGATTATATAAAATGTGTTTATAACATTTTTAGTAAAATTTGTCATATATAATATATAGTATTATTTACTTGCTAACCTAGGTATATAACTTATATTTATAATATATATACTTTATGTATATAATAGTACAAAGTGTCCGCGTTCTGCAATGTACCTTTTTACCCTACCGTGTACATTTAGAACAATGGACCGTACAAAGTGACCGTTTACCCAATATTGTACTGTACTTCGAAATTTACTGATAGCGTATATTAGTAGTATATGTCTTTAGCAATGGCTAGCGAAATATGTGCGTCTGGTCTTAAAACTAAATTTGAAAAAAAAATTTATTTATGTAATAAATTACATTACAAAAAATGAATGTTGTGCTCTAATGAGTGATAATAATAAAATTATATTTAAATTTAAATTTAAATTTCACATATATTTTAAACATAAATTTTTCCCCACAGCTGCACCTTCATACTATAATATAGTATAACATATTATTACAACGCAATAATCCGTATAGGACGTTGAGAACGCTGCCGCCACTCTATGCATTCTTAAACAACGACGAACATCATACACATCGATAAAACGTACTACGCAGTAGTTTTAAAAATATTGTATTATGTTAAACCATACTATATACTGTAAGTATATTTTCGCACCATAATTGTATTATATATTATTATTATTATTTGTCGGTCGTGTAAAATCATTTAAACCGAACCCTGCAGCTGCACCTTCATACTATATAATATAACATATTATTACAACGCAGTAATCCGTATAGAAGGGTGGCGGTTCTGCTTCCACCCCTCTATGTATTCTTAAACAGCGACGAACCCGCCTACACATCGATAAAATGTACTACGCAGTTGAATATTATATTCTTTTTGAAATGCCGCTACTACGCAGTAGTTTTAAAAATATTGTATTATGTTAAACTATACACATACTACCTGTATAGTAAGTTTATGGTCGTACCATAATGGTATTATATATTATTATTATTATTTGTCGGTCGTGTAAAATCATTTAAACCGAACCCTGCAGCTGCACCTTCATACTATATAATATAACATATTATTACAACGCAGTAATCCGTATAGAAGGGTGGCGGTTCTGCTTCCACCCTTCTATGTATTCTTAAACAGCGACGAACCCGCCTACACATCGATAAAATGTACTACGCAGTTGAATATTATATTCTTTTTGAAATGCCGCTACTACGCAGTAGTTTTAAAAATATTGTATTATGTTAAACCATACACATACTACCTATATAGTAAGTTTATTGTCGTACCATAATGGTATTATATATTATTATTATTATTATTTTTCGGTCGAGTAAAATCATTTAAACCGAACCCCGCAGCTGCACCTTTATAATGCACTATAAAATATAATATATTATTATAACTCAGTAATACG